ATTTGCTCATAAACTCTGAGCACTGTTCCCCCTTGAGAGGCAGGAGGTATAGTTTCCGTTGGAGGACGGGGCCGGATAGTTTTGGGAGGTCCTTGCTCGTTACTTCTGTTGAATGGAAACAGCAGGGTGAGAGTCTTACAGGAAATGTTTCCCCAGGCGGTTTCCTCCTGGGACAAGGCAAGCACATATTCCATCTCCTTACTGTCTGAGGTCCATCCGAATGGGAATGGGACCACTGGGGCCTCTAGTCTTCCTGCTGCACAAGCGTAACAGTCACTTTTATTTAGGGCGAGTACAGAATATCTAATCCATTCCACCCAGGCTTTCGTTTCCTCATAACCTACTTCTATTTGCATGGTGGTGGCAGTGGCCTAGGGGATCTTGTTCTGTGACATCTACTCCTAAATCTAGTCCTAGCCAATCTTTTGACCTAAAGGCTGAAATATCCAAGTCATTCAAGTTATTTATAACCAATAACTTAACTGGGTAAGCATGACCCAGATTGTACACCTTTCTCCAGCCACATTGTAAGCCCCTGCAATTTGCCAGATTCCTAAAGCAAATAGAGCCCAGTTCATGATGGTTATTAAGACAGCTCACAGTTTTTAGTATCAATTTCAAGGAGGCATGTCCTGGTATGGCTGTCCTAGTTGAGGTGTGTCTGCCCTTAGCCCGTGTGTGATGGGTCCAACCTTGCTCTGCAGTCCGAACAGCAGTCTCTGTGGTTAGCGTTTCTGTACAGAGGTCTATGTCCTCCTGAGCCTCTTTTAACAGCTCTTCGACACTTCTATCCTCCCAGTTCTCTAACTTTTGCAATTTTCTTGAGATGTCAGGTCAACTATTGGTGACAAAATGTAATTTTAATTTTCCTTGGCCCAACGGGACCTCAAGGTCTGGCCCAGAGCACTTTCTCATTTGATCTTTAGTCTGGGTACAATTCGGAAGGCCTTTCTTTGCCTTGCTGAATATTGAAGGCCTTATTTAGGTTCTGAGACTGGGGAACTGCTCCCCGAATCCCTTTAATTATTAGTTCCCTGAGATCTCTCATGTCCCCTATGGGCCTTGTTGGTATGCTCCCACTGGGGCTCCCGGTTTGGAAATCTTACATCTGCTGGAAGCACATCAGGACCAGCCAGGTGCTCCCTTTCCCTGATAGCCATAGCCAACCTTCGAATCATTCCCCCTTCTTTTCCTGAGACTAGTATTCCCACGATAGGCATTAACTCGGTCCACGTATACACTTGTGGGCCCCAAAATGGGTCTAGCTGGTCAGCTAAGCCATGTGGGTCTTCCAGCAGAGGTTTTAACTCTTTTCTTTTTACTTCTCCAACTCCGTTCACAGCCTAGGAAAGCTAGTATCTGCTGGTGCCGTGGCCTCAGGGCCGGTTGGAGCCTTATCAGGACAGCTCTCCTCCCGAGGGGGCGGCTGGGATTGTAAATTGTCATCTTGGCTGTTCCCTCAGGTTGTGCCCCAGTCGCACAGGGAGGGGAAGGCAGGACAAGGGACCCCCCTTCTCTGACCGCCCTGGTTCTCCTTAGGCTTCTCTGCCTTTACAGGGAGAAGGAGGACTGGCCCTTCTCCAACAGAGAGCACAGTCCGTCTCCTCTTGAGTGACTGGACTTTCATCATTAACAAATTTATAATTATTACTGAAGAGCTTTATCATAAACCCTTCATTTTAGTTACATCTATTTATTATATCTTAACAACTTTGCAATTTTAAAGCCAATTATTAACCAAAGCATTTTCTTGACCAATTTTGTAACAGGGATAACTCACCAGTCTTCAGTGGCTTTAATGTGAAAGTACTATTTTATTTTATTTCCCTTTTGAAAGCAGGAGTGCCTCCACTCCCCCACCCCCCCCTTCCCCTTCACTGCTAGAGGGTACTTCTACAGATTGTTCCAAGTGTTATGGGGAAAAATGGAACACTAGGGACTAGTTATGGTTATGGGAAATATTAATTATGCTGTTAACCATGATTTCCCTTTCTGTTCAAAGAAAGGGCATACCAATCTGGCTTGGAGTTGTATGCCCCTGGGACCTGGGAGTCAGCCTTGGAATGTGGTCCATCCTCATTCAAGAACTGCTCATTATCATGGAAACATTAATATTGTTGCCCAACCCAGCTTGTATAGCTTACTTCCCCATGCCTGTAATCCCTACTTCCCCCTGTTATCTTTGTCCCTATGTTCATAAACCAAGGAAGAGTAAACTAAAGTCCATAAAAGATAGAAAGCCAAAATTACATTGCAGACACACAGACAGAAATCTCACTAGCTAAGAGTTTCTGGCAGGCTAACACCCTGCCAGGGAAAGCAGGATGAATCCCCAAGATTAAGAATTCTTGGCAGCTGCTAGGACATTCCTGCAATCTCTGTCACTGTGTTCAGCCTCACCACACGTAACTGGGCTTCCCAAAGTGGGACTTGCCCCATTTTTAAACAAATTAAACAAACAACAAAGAGATATAAAACATCAACAGGAACACTCTAATACAGGTGCGTGCAACATACTAAAAGTTTACACCACAGAATGCCCTGTATTAAGAGCCACTAAAGCAGAGCAATGTCTCCTGTGCCTGGTTTGGGAACTGTCCCTCCCCAGCACCTCAGCATTCTCCCAGTGGACTATTTTGGGGGAATGTATGCCCTAGGCCTAGAATTTCTGCTTCCCATCCTCGGCAGGTCCCATGTGACTATGAACTCAACCCCCCATGTTGGAGTTTTCTCGTACTCCCCTGAGATCTGCTTCATCCCTCTGGTCACTTCCCTTGCAGGAGAACAGAACCGCAGATCAGAACTCCGCACTCGCTTTATGTCCAAGACACATCCCAGTCACATAAGCCTGACATCCAAGGACACCCAATCACCAAAGTTGTGCTTAGTCCAATTCCCACCTTGGCTCATGCATGAGGTCACCGGATTGCTGAGGGTCTTGCTTGGGCCCTTCCTGCGTTGCTGGCTGACTCTCAATCCTGAGCTCGGAGTCGGCCCAGGGGTGATGGCTGACCCTCCTCACCAAGGCTGCCGCAACTTGGCAGCAGGGTGCACCTCCTCAGGAGAAGGGTCCAATTTCCCCCTGTGATGACAAACGGGATTCTGGACGCACCCCCAAACTGTAAGAAATAAGGTGAACCCCCCAAGTCAGGGGTTCTGGTAGAACACAAAGCACACTGGGAGCCAGGCAGCAGGCAAATATCTTTACTTCCAAGTGGAAGGGTGCACACACATGGTCTGGAAGCATGTGCACCCAATAGGGGGTCCACTCAGCTTTTTAATCTGATGCTCATGACCGGTCCCTCACTCCTGATTGGAGCTCAGGTGCACAGTCTTTCATGATTGGCTAATTCAAAGGGATGGGTGGACCTTTGCCATTTCAAGATGATGGCCCCCAGGGAGCTGCAGGTCACATGGTCAACATGGCAGCAGCTAAACTGTTCTTTGACAGAAAAGGTGACTTGTTTATTCTCACAGCGGGAAGTTTGGTGGCTTAGTGGCAGAATCAGGAAGGCGCCTGAGGGCCGCGAGCCTGCTCCCTTGCTGTCCCAGCAGCAGGCCCCTGGCGCTGGCTGCTGGCTCCTGGCTCCTGGCTTTGGAGCATGAAGAGCTATTGCAGATGTGTCTTTGTCAACGGGGAGCAGAGCTGGGTTTATGGAGAGGCAGCCCCGGGCTCAGCTGGGAGCACGGTGGGTGGGACAGCAGGAGGTCGGGTCCCTGCTGGGACAGGAGCTGTGGTGTCGATGGCATCGGGCCCTCTCCTGAGCCGATGGCTTCGGCTTCGTCAGGATGAAAGTAACAAAATGATAACCCGCCCAGGTGCTTTTGACCATCCACGTAGAACATGCTGGCGATGAAACGGGGCCATGCTGCCTCACAGGCAGGGAGCACAACTGCCCCTCCTGGCGGGACTCACTCTACACGAGTGACGCTAGTTCAGGGGACGTGTCCGGCTGCGTCCACTCAATATGCTAATCAATAGGACCTAATTGACAAGGTCTGTGTCCCCTTCTACAGGCACCGCACTGGTCCTGACTCCTGGCTCCCCGTGTGGAGGCTGAATGCCCAGTGTTCCCTCTCCATAAGGGACCAGGACTGAGAGGGCTCACTGGACCTCACTTCCCCCATGAGCCTGGGTCAGGAGCAGCAGGGACAAGGAGACCAGATGGCCCAGGACCCACCGTGTGCCGGGGACCTGGGAACCTGGGGTGGGTGTATTGCAACCACTCTCCCTGCTGCTCCCTGGGCTCTCTGGCCCCAAGCTTGGCGGTGCCTCTACCAAGCTCCGACTGACCCCAGACCCTCAGGGCACCGGGGCTCCCAGCGGTGCCAAGCGCAGCTTCGACCCCTGGCCCCGTAGCATCCCAGCACCAGAACCCAGCCAGAGCGCAGCCATGCAGGGTGGCCGCTGCAGACCCTGAGGACGCCTCAGCAGGCAGCACCCCAGTATGCTGACGGCAGCCTTAGGGAGCTCGGGTGCCCGTCAGTGCTGGTCAGAGGACTGGAGTACGAGAGCCCTGCCTGCCCCCGAAAGTGCTGATTTGAAGATCCGGTCCCTGGCAGAGGGGGCCTCTGCCTCTGGAATTAGCCCCTAGGTCTGGAGACAGGATGGTGTGGACGTCCCTGGAGTCGGCAGGCTGTGGATGTTGGGGACCTGCCTTCCCTGCAGGAGCTCCCCCACCCAGGCAGGAGAGCTGGGCGTGGAGATCGGGGTGGAAATGCGGGGCAGGTCAGGCCCCATGCCCCTTGTTGGGAACACTCCTTCGCTGGGCAAACTTGCCCCGGAAATGGCCTCTGGGCCCACAGCCATCCCACTGGCTTGGGCTGGGGGTCGAGGCACTTCCTCTCCCACCTCTTCCACTGGCCTCAGCAGCTCAGACCCAGAGCCATGCAGCCTCCCCAGCCTCTGGCGTGTACCCTGCAGGCGGACGTCCACAGCCACCGCCATTGCGTTGCCGGGCACCCCCACCGTCACCGTCTCCAGCCCATGTCTGTGGGAACTCAGGCCCCTGGAAACTGGTCCCGAAGGTGCTGCAGGGAGGGTTCGCCTGGCCTGAGCGTCACCTCAAGGCTTTGTTCCCGGGAAGCTGCAGACACCGCGCCTGGTGTCAGCAGTAGGAGGAACTTTGTGAGTCTGCTGCACTCGCTCCCCTACTGAGGACATCCCTGCTCACCAAGCCCAGGGTGGGGGCGGGGGGCGGCTGCTCAGTTTCTGGGTGGGAGGCTGAGCCTGGCCTGAGATCCTGTGGCAGAGGGACCAGGGCTGGGGCTTCTCAGCTCGGGGTCTTGTGGCTCACACATGCCTCCCGACAGCGGGGCCCCAGGGCGCGAGCTGGAGAGGGGCCTTAGCTCCCGCAGAGCCCTCCTTGCTCAGGGCGTGGTCAGGCCCAGGGGCCAGCAGGAGGCAGGTCCCAATTTCCAACCCAGGAGGGGTTCCTGCCTCCATTGGGGCCTGCGGTGTGGGGACTTCTCGGGCAGCAGCCAAGCCTAGTCTGGGCAGGGTGCACGCCAGAGGGCGGGGTCCAATATGATGTGATGAGAATCCAAATGGGGCATTAGTTGGGGGCTCAGACCTCGTTAAGCATGAGGGACTTTGGCCAAATCCTGATGTGGCTCTTCTGTTGCCTCAGAGGGGCCTGACCTTGGGGGTCTCATGGCCTCAGTCCTGGGGACAGATCTCCTGGACACAGATGAGGTCTCCTAGGCAGAGTCCATCTCTACTGGTGCCAGGTTTGGGGCTGAGAGAGAGCAAGGTGGCTCAGAGTTGGAGGAGGAGGAGGAGGAGGAGGAGGAGGATAGCTCCTGGAGGGTCACTTAGGCCTTCTCCCCGACCCAGGCCTGCCCTCTGCCACAGTGGCCTCGGATCCGCTCAGCAGCTCCATCCACAGCAGAGCAATGAAGACCTGGCCCTCCCTCCTCCTGTCCTGGCCCTCCCTCCGAGGGCGCTGCATGGGAGGCGCCGGCAGGCGGCCAGCTGGCCCGGACAAGGGCCCAGCTGTGCCGCTGGCCTGTCAGGACGTCCTCCTTTATTCACAGGGAGCTGAAGGCCAGGGGCAGCACCAAGGGCTTGGCTGTGCCGCTGGCTTGAGGGTGGCAGGTGTCAGAGACCTGCTGTTCAGGTTCGGGTTCGGGTTGGGGTTCGGCTGCCAGGATGGAGCCCCACACAAGCCACTCGGCAGCAGGAGCCTGGCCCGTGAGCTCTGAAGGCCTTGAGCTGGGGTGCTGCAGGGACCCCTTCGCTGTGGGCACAGGGACCTCCCCTTGAAGGAGCAGAGGAGTCATTGCCCGGTGACTCCTTACAATAGTGACTTAGTGGCAGTGACGGTTCACCAACTCCAGACACCCAGCCGGTGCCAAGTCCCTCCTCACAACAGGCCCCTCGCAGCTGAGGAAACAGGCTCAGAGGTGCCAGCCCTTATGCTCCCGTCTAACCCTCACTCGCTTGCTTGCTGGGTTAATGGCGAGCCTGGAGACAGACCCAGCGCTCATCATTCTTCCTCATTACAAGCAAGTCGTCACTCTGCAGTGTTCCACCTGGAGGCGGGCCTCCCCTGGAGTGTGTCCAGTGGTAATTAACTGCTTAGCAGGGGGGCAGGCAGGGGGCATGGGGATGGCGGCAGGGACACGTAGAGCTGTGACTGGGAGCCCAGCCAGTGGGGGATCGATACCCGATGCCCAGATACAAAGAGCCTGTAGCTGGTTCAGCTGTAGGGTACCAGCTGTACTTGAAGGTCGAAGGTCTTCCAGGGAGAGGAGACCTGCATGGAGATGGAGACTCCAGCATGGAGCACATCCCCCTCCCCCCACCCCCAGGGCTGTGGGAAGCAAAGGACACTGGGCTAGGTGTGGTCTGCTGGGCAACAGGCCCTGCCTGGCTCCCACGGGTGTTGCCCAGCTTAAACCCAGATCGTGAGAGAGCGCCGCCTTTGGGCTGCTGTCCACTCCCCCTGCAAGGGAGACACTGGTGCTTTTTAGATTCCAAGCTGGGAAGCAGCCACCTCTCCCCTCCCCCTGGTCACAGCGCCTGTGCGGCGCAGTATCTGCAGCGGTTCTCAACCTGTGGGTCGCGAACAATGAAAATACATCCTCACATCAGATATTTACATTAC